TATCTTGAGAAGATTCTCGAGAATGCTGGCATGACACTGTGCAATCCTGTCAGTACGCCCATGACACCTGGAGTAACCTTACAGAAGGCTACGCACCCTCCAACGACTGAGGAAGCGGATGCCATCGCGTCGATCCCATATCGCCGAACTATTGGGGAACTCAACTACGCTATGCGAACCACTCGTCCTGACATTGCTTACCCAGTTTCATGCCTCTCCCGATACATGGAGAACCCCAGTATCGACCACCATCGTCAGCTCAAGCATCTTCTCCGGTACATCCGTGGAACCACAGACTTAGTACTCATCTTCGGTTCGTCGGATGAGGGACTCGGACTATGCTGCGGATCGAGACGATAGTAAGTCCACCAGCGCTTACGTCTATCAGCTATTCGGAGGACCTATTAGTTGGAAGTCTCAGAAGCAATCTGTGGTCGCTACCTCGACCACGGAGGCTGAATACATAGGCCTATCGAACGCTTCACGCGAAGCGTTATATCTAATCCAGCTTCTTCATGACTTCCGCCTCGACCCCGAACTCTATGATCCCGCGCTCCTATATGGAGACAACCAGTCCAGTATTGCGCTCTCGAAGAATCCGAGATTCCACGAAAGAGCCAAGCACATTCGCGTCCACTACCATCTCATCCGCGACCTCGTCGACACGAACAAGATCGAACTCCAATACAAGTCCACCTCGGAGATGATCGCTGATAGCCTGACGAAGGCATTACCTCGTCCAGCTGGAGTCCAGCATCGGGAGAACATGGGATTACGTCGTCAAGACCTGCCAGGCGCCCTGACAAGTGGGAGTTTTGAGAGGTGATCCGTCAGAGCACCGAGCCGGTTCCAGATAGATATATCTAACCGTTACATTTTTATGTGCCTTAGCTGTCAGTGTCATTGGACGTCATGTCCCCCTAGTAACTGACCATTTTCTTATTTTCTCTTTCGTACTTAAAGGTGGCTAGACGCTACACTCGCACCTCAGTCTTTCTTCCATTGACTGAGGTGCGTATACTATTCATTTATACTATACACGATGCTTACTAGCGGTCCTACAGACTCGCGCTACCTTAGGTTAGTTTACACGAATCTAGTCTTTCTTCCATTGACTGAGACTCGCGCTACCTTAGCTCTCACTCTCTAATATCTTCGTCGTGAGGAAACAGGAGACAAGCCGTCCAGTTTCTACTTCACATTAGTATAATATGTCTCGTAGACTATGGGCACCTCAGACGGAGGGCAACTTTACTCAAGTAGCTATAAGTCATGGTAGCCGCTTGCTTGAAGAGAGATCGTTCAATTGACAGGCATCGAGAACAATGATGAACTCACTACATGTCGTATCAAATCCGCTGAGCAGAGCCGCTGATGTATGACCACAGTAGCGTCAAGACTGCAGCACATTTCAGAATATTCTTAACAGCCTTTCTTCGCCTTGCCCATACCCATTTCTCGGCACCGACAGCCGTGTAATGATCCCAATTTGGTTTACGAAGTAACCACAAGAAAACTGTCGTAGGCCAAGGAAACGAATGGAACACCTTGCCTGTACCGTTCGTACGCCTCCAAGAGAAGCAGTGTACATGCACCGAGCGAGAGAGCCGTTCTTGTAGCTTGGCGTTGTATGTATCTGTGGGTGTGGCTTTGACGGTGAAAGATGAGGCAGAACCAGTAAGGACCGGCTCTATGAGTTGGAGGACGTATGCAACCTTGAGACAAACTTGAGTAGAAACATAAAAAAAATAAAGGTGTACTTACTTGCACTTCTGCGGTGAACGTCGACGCTGTTGGTCCTCCAGTATTTGGTCCTGTGATTATGACCTCAGGCTACAGTTGATGGCGACACGCTGGCATCAAAACCCACCAATTATCAAGTAAAAGTTTGGTGAGTCTGGAATTGCAGTCCCGAGGTATGCAGTAGGGCCACCATGCGCCTCATAATAGCCTTGGACAGTGGCTCCATTCAAGCCTCGAACGTGTATCGGATACGACTCCTGTTTCTGCATTTGGCATCGAATAGAATGTTCCATCGTGTATTGCAACTTACGCAGGTGAATCCGGTCGCGTATACAATGACATCAAATAGTAACATTTCACCTAAATTATATGAGGAAAGTGATGACGCCATTGACGGCTCACACACCAGTGTTTGTGATGATGCCATTTTCCACTATCTCGGCGACTCCGTCGAAGTTCAGTGTCACGTTAGAACGACAGATACTTTTCAGGAAACCACTGTTCGCGACTGCATGTAATGAAATGAGAAAGAGAATAACGAGTCAGTTTCACTACTGCCGACGAACCAGTCCGCTTGCAACCTGGGGCTGCGAAACATGTGAGCATAAATAAATCTCCTTGATCAGACACGTACGATGATCAGGTACCATATGAGAATGGTATCTATCCGGTGTGTTATCGAGGATGTATTTCGTCATCGCCTAAGTAGAAACGTTAGACCGAATACCCGGTCTCGGGGTCCCTGCTCACGTCACGTTTTTTCTGGAGAGCCCTGTCACCCACGGGTAGATGAGGGGGAGCAATATACTGTAACAAACGTCAGCAAGCTAACATTCTGTAGTGCAGGAGGCCTGACCTGGAGCATAATCCAAGTTCGGTGCAGTCGCATTACCAGGGGGATGTTAGCAAATATCCATTTCATAGTGTTCGAGTATGGAATGCGTGGCTTAGATGTTTTGTTTTGTTGCTGAATCATCGACCATGATACAAAGAAACTCACTCGGGTATTAAACCAGGTCGGGGTGCGGATGAAGTTAACTACTTCGACGGACGGGTCTTCAGATATAGATGGCACGAACTGTGCTCTTGTTGTATGTCACTACCAATTACCTGCACAGAAGTCGTCGTGACTCACCCGGAGGAGGCATTTCCAATCACTGCAACACGCTTGTTTTGCAGATTTATTGAGCCTGGCCACTGTGCGGAATGAAACGATGTCCCCTGAAACTTGCGAACTCCAGGGATCTCATATGGAATCTTTGGGACCTGCAAGATACCAGCGGCAGATATCACGACGTTGGCTACGCTCGACATTCTCTTGCCTGAAGATACATCTTCCACGATGATGTTGTACTGTTGTTTGGCATCATCCCACTCGGCAGACAATACTTTCGTGTTGAATCGGATGTGTGGATATAGATTGTATTTCTTCGAGAGTTTAATCCAGTAGGCTTGAATTTCCGGTTGAAGGCCATGTGATGCGTTCCAGTATGGGTAAGGGTCTGATGATAAACTGTACCAATGAATTTCGATATCTGATGAGCATCCCTAAAACAAGCTTCGAGATGAGCGATACGGTGTCGCAGTCTCGATCATTGATAATACGTACAGGATATGTGTTGGCCTGTGTAAACAAAAAATGTCAGGAAAACGCTTTGGTGCATGACAACCACGTACCCTCCACACTCCACCAACTTCAGACTCTTTCTCATATATCTATTGAACCACTCAGCGAGCATACCACTCATTGCATGGATGGACCCACTGTGAAATTGTGGAATTCAAGTTTGGTTTTGAGAGCAATAGCTTGGGTTAACCCGGCAATACTGCGCGCAGTCCAATATTCAGTTGGTACAGAATCAAATCAAAAGTGATACTTACCCGGCGCCAATGATGGCGACTCTCCGCTGGATCTCACTCATGTCGAAAATGACTTTTCTCAAGACTCTGAATCTTCCTTTAATACTCTCTCACCTGAGGCAATAACAAACAAATATGCCTCATCAAGCCTTATCGTGTGAACCTCAAGAAGTTCCTTATCCTACCTATAAGTAACTGTGAGATATCTCATAGTACCTCGGACGTGGCCCAACAGGCTTCAATTGAGACCAGAAAGTATAGATTTGGCCGGTATCTTGACCGCAGGCTTGGCGACGCCTAGTGGGGTTCAAATCTCGCCCGATGTGTGAAAGCAGGGATGGCCAACGTCTGAGACTCTGGGGCCAATTTGAAAGTCTGACGTACGTCCAAGTCCAAATAATAGTCCGGGGCCGCTGGCTGCGTTCGAGCGGAGTTGTAATATCCATGTCACGGCATCCCGCTTTAGATGCACGAGTCTACCACGCCACGGGGCCGTTTCTGATAAGTACGTCTCGTTTGTATGTAGGCCTGACGAGTGATAATAGATATACAAATACTCGGACCGCCGAAGCGGTCGTTGCGCATGCACGAGGGGAGTGGATGGAGCGCGGATAGAAAGGTAAAGGTAAGTCTGGACTGGCGCGGCGTGCTGCTGACTGATCCGTGCTGTACTACCGTATAGCTCTCCTGCGCCTGGTGACCTCTCGTGCTCACATCTTGAAGTGTCCTGATAACTAATGGAACCATCGAACGGTTCCTTTCGTGTGTTATGTAAATTAGAATTCGTGGAGCAATTCAAATTCAATGCATCCATTTCTTCGTATCCGCCAATGCAAGAATTTATTGATACCTATATCAACAGCATGAATATCTCATGGAATGTCCGAGTCTGCCAGAAGATCTTCCTTGCGTGCCGGTTCCGGGACCAACAATTCACTCTCCACGAATCGAATGATTTGTACACGATCAACGCAACGTCGGAGCCAGTTGTCGGTGAATCTCTCGTTTTACATGCTATTTATATTTGTGCTCATTTTTTCGTATTGTATAAACCTCCAGGCATGAAATAGGCTTTGTAGTACACTGGAATAGTATATTCGACAGAGTTCCCTAAATTTGTGTTGCCAATGCACAGAAGGCGTTCAAAACATCCCTTTCGCCAAGCGCAGCGGTGGCCCTGAAACATTCAAGGTTCGAAGTCATCGCGGAGTTACTTACCTCCACACAGGGAATAATGTGAGCAGAAGAATCGCTTCCTTCCCAAAATCTTTCCGTGAAAGCTGTTGGATAGAAAAGTGATCAGAGCTTCAGCGCTGAGCGCGATGAGGCAAGACACTTGCGACTAAAGGTGCGTGTCATTTTTTGAAAATAATAGTGTCGATTGATTATAAAAAGCTCCGAGCTTCCTCGTATTCTGCCACGCCTAGGCCTGCTGAGTCTGTGGCTACTGTCAAGCCAGCTTCTCTTTGATATTTTTGCCGTACTTGAGCTTGGGTCATGCTCCCTCTCCGAAGTCCGTAGCTGTGTCTGTACCGTTTTGTGCTTGTACTTCACATCCTTTTGGACCCACCCTTCATGCCCCTTCGCATTGTTCGCAATCTCATCCTTGCCACCAGTAGACCGTCGAACAGTGGCCAAAGGTAAACGACTGCCAGGACTTGTGGATGACATGTCTATCTGCTAATATGCTTAGATGATATTGCCATCGAAAGAGGACTTTCGAGTAAACGAATATCATCCAGAAGAGACTGAGCTTTGAGTTGCTGCTGCTAGGTGCTCGCGGAATGGGAAATCAAATCGCATATTGCTCCAATACTACTATAGTAAACTATTATTGTGCGTACCTATTGCCAGATAGTTTGCGAGCTTGCCTCATACTCCTTGTTTCTTTCGTTCACAGTCGAACCATCGAGGTACTGGGTTACCTAAGTTTATGTGAACGTAGATGGCCAAATGAAAAAAAAATTATGGCAGGCTCAGCTTCGTCACTGACCCAATTTTCAGAATTGCAAACATGACTAGTCTTGAGAGTAAGTACAGTCCCGCTCCGCATGTGTTGTTGTCAGAGTTAAGCAGGTATTGCGGCGATGTCGTGGATCCTGCACGTCGCGCATTTCTTATCTGTGACGACATCCCGAACATCCGCTGTAGCAGCTCCCGAGCGATGCCCATAGCAGCAGTGCATGGGATCGTGATTGGTCTGGGAATAGACATCATCTCCGCGTGCGACGTCCGGCATGCAGCATCAGATGCGAAGTTCTCGATCAAAGCTCGTTAATCACATGGCTATTCAGTTGTTTGTCTGATGAAGGCTACTGCGTATAGGATGTCGATATGGGGCTGGCGGCTGACGACGGAACGCTAGCTTGTTTACAGAAGACTGCGGGGAATCGATCATTGGCTCATTAGCTCACATATACTGCACGCAGTGCACAGGCATTCTTGAGCGATGAAATAGAGGAACTCGGTCTTGTTTCTAGCGTTGTTCAAGGCGGGAGGGATGCAGTCGTGGCTGCAGCATTGCAATTGGCCAGGGGTTGCCTCGAAGAGTCCTGTTGCGGTGACTAGGACAAAGCGTCTCCAGGTATCACAGGTATGAGTGTCTGCCAACGCTCTTGGATCAATCCATTGTGTTATAATAGTGTTGCTGAGAATTTGCCGCAGCACACGGCAACATGGAACTTAGCTGCGCTTCAGGCTATGTTTATAGTTAATTTATCAACTATCAAGAAAATACTATGCGAGGACTTACAAAAGTTGATCAAAGCAGGAATAGCGAAATCAATGGAGTCCTACCATTAAGGCCCAAGCTCTGGTTGTTCGAGTGTGCTATGTTTCATTCTATGAGACTTCCGCTAATGAGAATTTGAAATTTACAATTAACCATCCTATTGCCAAAAATTCTTACTGTCAATCTGGTACATGCTTAAGACCAATAACACCGTTGAATGATTCATTCAGCGGGTCGTTGGTCTGTCGCGACTCGCCATAGTTAGTGAGCAAAAAAAAACAGTAGAGAGGAGAACGCGCAGAGTGCCGTGCACGTGGTGGGACGCAATCGCAGTATTCAAACTCCGCCCGAAGACTGGCCGACTTCTCTATGTTGATTAGGCCCAGAGTGGCCATTTTCCGGACGTTCTCCCCGATGTGCAATACTGGTACTAGGGCACAACTTGGGCATACTGCCAACCCGCCTGCCGCTGCCCGCCAACAGGGTCAATATCTCATAGTCACGCACTGGCCAAAGTCTAGATTCGCGCTCACATTCAAGTTTTTCGCGCCTGCTTCCTTAAATTCCATCCCTTGCCTCGCTTTGCTTCCTGTTGCTCCGCTAGGCCTGCCTAATAATTACTGCCGGTTCACAATCGCTGTTGACCGCATTGACTTTCACACTTTCCATGGAAGTGCCGATCGGTCTTGAGACAGGCTTTGTATCTGCAAAATAGTTCAGGAAGCAATGATTTTCCACCCCCCCCCCCATTCACACAGGATGATGAGCAATATATGTTAGTGTCGGACAGCCTTTCCTTCCTAACGAAAAGATAATCAGCAACCTCATTCTTGCTGTCTGCCCTTCCAGTGTCGCAATGAAGTTGAATGAACGAGTAAGCTCGGAGTAGCTTCAACCTTGTTGGTGTATTTCCCATGTCAAACTTAATGAAGTCAATCAAAAGGGCTCAACGTAAAGTCTAGGTCTCACCGGGCATCATCCAGGGTGAAGCTAGCATGCTTGTCGATTTTGCCGAACACTGAACGTTTCGTCTGCTGCTGCGAGTACAGACTTGTATATGGCCGGCCCGTTGTGTGTGAGCCAAACATCTCGAACTTACAGTCAAGACTTCGACCCCTGTAGCAGAGTGAGTCCTGCTCTCCACCCAAAATTCACACCCCAGCTGCCCACCGCTCCTCACCAGCAACAGCCAACACCCTAATGAAAGACCTGAGCATCTCCCAACCAGCCCTGATGTCCAGACCCATCCCAACAGTCTCAGAAGGAATTCCCAAAGCCTACCGATTCGTAGCAAATCAAAATAAAGAAGCAAGCCAGCGCCATCCGCATGATAACGATATCTGTGACGCACCTATTTCTGCCACCATGTAGTAGTCGTTATTAAGAGAAATACATTGACAGATGCTACCAAACAACCATCATACGGACCGCCGCACCAGAGCAGCATGAACCACGGAAAACTACAACGTATAGTATAAACAAGCAGCGGCCTTCCACCCCTCTGCTCTCAAACCCAAATCATTCCTCATCATCACGACGGTGGTCGACATCACAAGTGAGGCTAGCATCCAATGCGTCCTCAAGGCCATTAGGCGACGATGCTCAAGAGATGAAGTAGTTTTGTCGTTCTGTGATCTCTCCTAAGAGGTTCCCAGAAGTCGGAGAACGGCAACACTTCAATCCGTACTGCATCTTGTCCCGACTAAAACCGTCTCAGAAGGATCGTAATTACCGAATTACCGAAGAATCCAGTGGTGCTTACACCTGTTGTCTTTGAGAATATCCTGACAATGCCACGGTATCAACCTGCACGTAAGTAACATCTTCGTTTGGCTACTAGTAGCAGCGTTACGTGAATATAATTGGGGAGGGAATGACTCATGATGTCCAACCTACCATTTCAAGGATCTTCCAAGTCGGTGCACCTGGTATTTTCCCCCTACTAGGCAGATACGTGCTATCTTCCCGCGCTATTTTCGCACTCGCAAAGCGTTTTGGGTTTGGATTCGAAGGGAAGCTATGCTTTGATCCACGAGGTATTGTGAAATTTAAAGTTCGTGGGGATGCTCGCCGTGCGATAGCTTAACATCATGATTTTGTCTAAAGAAAATCTGTGGGATGTTGGCAACGTGCGTCGTGATGAGCCTGTAGATATCATATATGTATGATTTAAAGGAGTCTGTGAATCAGGTGTGATGAGGCTCCGTAAGGTTGGACGTAATGAAATCAAGAAGTTTACGAGCAAGTTACAGCATGTTACGCCCTTGCAATGATTTTGTGTTGCCCTTGGTATAATTTGTTTTCTGCCTAACTTTGCCGCAGCTGGTCTTGTGTTGCTCCCATCCTCGTCCATAAAATTATATCTGTTATATCTTCTTTCAAATATTGGTCAGGACTGCTATATCTGTGTAAAGTAATCTAATTTTGAGTCGTTGTCGCCTTATTCATGGTCATTGCCATCTCCACAGCATAGCGCTCAAGAATAGTCCGCTCAACCTCAACCTGCGTCTCCTTTCATTCACCATCCTGGCATTTCCTGCACCTCCAGCCACAACTACTGACGAGCACCCCTGGTGGCTGCTCTAGATGTCGAACGAACAGCAAACACAGACCATCCGAATCACTGGTGGGTGATGCATGATTATTTGTACAGCCACAACTGCTCATCCGAGTCTGTGCACGCCCAGTCCTTGCCGCCAACTCCCTTGTGAAGCGAGAGGTTTTCAGTCTCCCAGATCCATTCGCTGTCGTCTCTGTCGATACCGATCAGACATACACCACCAGCCCGGTGAAGAGGAGTTTGAGCCCGACTTGGAACCAGCACTTTGATATGTGAGTTTCTTTGAGTTCTCTCGCTGCTATCAGTATTAATCGTATTTCGTAGCACCGTTCGACCATCTTCCACTATCATAATCCAGATATTCGACCAAAAGAGATTCAGGAAGCGGGATCAAGGTTTCCTTGGGCTTGTAAAGCTTACCGGCCAAGAGGCGATAGAGCACACGGCCAACAGTTACAGTACTCATAATCTTTAACTTCGATACTTCAAGCTAACACGACCTGCTTCAGGGCTTATAACTCACGACCTTTGCCAGTCATCTACTGGAACATCTGTTTACGGGAAGCTGATGTTTTCGTTCTCGCTTCCGCCGAACACTCCGTCGGATGCTGCGCAAAGCAATCTATCACCTAGTGTATCAGTAAACCGGTCTTTGCGTCCGCGTCAGAGCACACCCATGCTTCGCCCTGAGTCCTCAACAAGGGTACCCGCTCTTTCCCGTGTCCCATCTCTCGGTCTCCTTCACAACCGCCGAGGTTCAACTTCCAACTTGGAGTCCCGAACCTCGTCAGATATTGCAACAACACTAACCAGACCTCCTATGGGTATTGAACGTGAGCCTTCTAGCACGGGGCAATCTACCACTGGTACCAGTGTAGACGACGAAGACGAAGCACCCCTCCCTCGAGGATATGAGCGTCGTCTTGACGAACAAAGCGGTCGAGTCTATTACGTTGACCACAATAGAAGGTTGACCACATGGGTACGGCCCACAGCCATACCTTCTACATCATCTTCTGCTCGTGCTCCATCAATCTCCGTGACGCAGCCGCACGTCCAGAATCCCACTCGCAGCAGCGGTGGCTATGTAGATGTCCCCCTACCGGCAGGATGGGAAGAGCGTCGGACGCCAGAAGGACGCCCCTACTTTGTTGACCATCATACACGCCTGACGACATGGATAGACCCTCGTACGGTACAAGTCGCACCTTCTGCTATCTCTGCGTCCACGAGTGCGAATGCGAACATTGGTCCTCTTCCATCAGGCTGGGAGATGCGCCTCACTTCCACTGGCAGAGTGTACTTTGTTGATCACAATACCCGCACCACGACCTGGGATGATCCAAGATTACCCTCGAATCTGGATTCTAACGCCCCTCAGTACAAGCGTGATTACAGAAGGAAGGTGATCTACTTCCGCAGTCAACCCGCGATGAACCTGAAGGAGGGCAAATGCGAGTTGAAGCTGCGAAGAAGCCGAGTCTTGGATGACAGCTTCGCCGCTGTCATGAGAATAAGCGGAAATGAGCTGAAGAGGAGGCTCGTGATCAAGTTCGAAGGAGAAGATGGCTTGGATTATGGAGGTGTCTCGAGGTATGAATTTCGCTTTCACTGGTTGAGGCGACCTTGTCCTAATACTGCGATAGGGAGTGGTTCTTCCTGGTGTCTCATGAGATCTTCGACCCATCCTATGGCTTGTTCCAATATTCCGCACACGACAATTACACCCTTCAGATGAACTGGATGTCGGGCATCAATCCTGAGCATCTCACATACTTCAAATTCATCGGGCGATGTCTTGGGCTTGCCATATACCATAGGCGGTTTCTTGACGCCTACTTCGTACCCAGTTTCTACAAGATCATCCTTGGGAAAAAGTCAACATTGGCTGATCTCGAAGGCGTCGATGCTGACCTTTACCGTAGTCTAGTCTGGATGTTGTATGTTTCTGTTCTTATCGCTGCTAAGTCGAGTCGCTCAACAATTGACTTAGAGAAAATGATATCACCGATGTCTTGGACGAAACGTTCACTTCTACGGAAGACCGCTTTGGCGAGATTGTGGAAGTCGAGCTGAAGCCTGGGGGAGCTGATATACCCGTCACCGAAGATAACAAGAAGGAGTATGTTGAAGCGGTTGTGGAATATCGTACTAAGACAAGGGTCCGGGAACAATCCCAAGCCTTCATGCTCGGCTTCCAGGGGATCATACCTCGAGATCTGATTGAACTCTTTGACGAGCGAGAACTCGAGCTTCTCATAGGGGGGATG